CATGTTGGTGTCTGTAATGCTTGACGTAGACTGGCAACACCGGCATCGGTGATCGGATTACAACCTAGATAAAGTGCGCTGACTGTACATGTTGGTGTCTGTAATGCTTGACATAGACTGGCAACACCGGCATCGGTGATCTGATTAGCAGCCAGACTAAGTTCGGTGGCTTCACATGATGGTGCAAGTAATGCTTGACATAGACTGGGAACACCGACATCGGTGATCTGATTAGCACTCAGATTAAGTATGGTGACTTCACACGTTGGTGTCTGTAATGCTTGACATAGACTGGCAACACCGGTATCGGTGATCTTCCGACCTCTCAGCCTAAGTTCGGTGATTTTCCTCCATTCAGATTCGTCCTCTACATTGAGTGCACCAAAAACATTTAATGTAAAAGACACAGAAGCATAGTACAGGTAAGCAAATTATTATAGGTTAAATTTTTTCATTCTTAATAATTTGCATGCGAGCGCTTCCGAAGATTCATTGGCTGAGAACACGTCAATTAATCCCAAAAAGTGCCCAAAGTTGAGACTGAGGGCAAAAAGTTGAAATTGAGTGTAGAAAGATGAAAATTATTTGATTGCCAGGAGAGTCACGAAAGCGCACCAAAACAAAATGACGGATAGGTTAGGAGAAGGTAACAAACTTTCAAATTCAGAATTTGATGGAGAACGCCAAAAATATAAATACAAAACAAAGCACAAACAACTGGCCAAAAGTCTGGAAGTTTTGGGCGTTGAAAAATATGAATCGGAGGCACAAACAAACTTCTCGAGGAATTTTACGCAATAGTTCGCAAGAAAGACGGGGAAGATAACGAGCGTGATATCTTTCGTGTGCTGATTATTGCCGTCGACCGATACCTAACAGACAAAGAGCACAAAAACCCGATTGTTCGTGACAGTGAATTTAAAAGCTCGAACCAAATTCTAGGGAAAAACGTCGACTACTTCAGCACAAGGCAAAGGGAAGCGGCCGAATCAGTGAGCCATGACATGAAAAAAACAACAACTATAGAGGAGAACAGAGTCATATTTTGGTAGTACATTATTAACAAGTAATCGCATGATTTTTCTCGTTCAATACGGGATAAAGTTGCATTTGTAAATTTTTCAAAAACTACAAATTGCACTCGCCCTACAGGCTTGTGCAATTTGTTCGCATTTCAAAAATTTACTCGTGCTCTTTTATCTTAAATTGTACTCGAAATCATATGATTACCGACACTAACCGACCCATTTCGGGAGGGGATCCAGGAATCTGTGGTACGGGAGGAAAATCTTTGACTCAGAAAACACATAGTTTTTGTTTTTCCGCTGGAGTTTAAGTAAGGCGTGAGGACACTTAGGGGAGAGAATGCTCCCTGTCATCTCCACTTCAATGAGAATTTTAGCTTTTTTCCATCTCTTTCTTTCGACGAACCTGACCAGGTAAATACTGTAAGACTTATTGCAGCTTTTGGCGGAACCAACCTTTATAGGGAATCAATTGCAACTATTAAATCTCTTCACTCCCCGTATGAGTAACAAAAAAATAATAAAAAATAACTCGCTTATCACCCGAAAAAAAAACATGGAAAAGACAACACCCGGTCTTTTTCCAATTTTGGGTCCAAGAGGAAAGGGTCAGTTCCAGTGGGAGATATTTCTCCGAGTTTGAGCTATTTTTAAAGGTAGGCATTTTATAAAACTGAAATGTTCTGATTGTTAAATTGCTTATTACCCTCTAATGAGAGGCCCTTCAATCTTCCTCTTCAATTTTTTTAAACAATGTTAATACACAATACCTTTTTCTCCTGCTTTAAATTTCTTTGCAGGATTAACGATTGCCTTCTTTAATTCATCCAGGCTTCTACCAAAGTGCTCTGTCATTTCATCCAATCTTTCTTTGATGCTGACTTCATCCATGATGCACTGTTTAAGCAGCTCTTTATAGTGTTCTTCGAAATCAGGGTCCATGCATTCCTTTCTCAGATCATCAATAGCACTTTGGTAACCAGCTCCTCCCAGTCTCACCAATGCATCTTGGATGTCCTTCCAGTATTGATTGAATGTTGGGTCATCAACTGAGGCCTGGCTGGCATGACCATAAACTGTGTTTCTGCAGCACTTGATGCGAACGATATCTGCTTCAATAGTTGCGTCTGTTGCGGGAGGAAGTGTATCCCAGCCGGTAGCCGGACGAACAAGACCGCA